TATTATACCTTTCAATTTCCCTTATATTTGGAGGTGATAAATAACCCCAGCAGGTACAATGGGGACTATGAAAATCGCTAAAGCAGAAGACCTGCCTTCCTGGAGGCTCAGTAAAGCTCTTTACCTCATCGTGGATGTGTGGGAGTTGATGATTATCTTTCTAACCCATTAGTGCTCGTCAGTTAAGCAGGATCTTCAAAACAAGGATCTTGAAGAAATGATTTGAATGAAATTGAGGTATTGGGATGAGGAAACCCAAAACCTCTAGAGTTAGTCAAAATGGTGCCTATCCTTCTTACTCCACTCTTCTCAGCTATTGCCCTTAGATGTCTTTTTTTTTTTTTTTTTAAGGCAGAGTCTTGCTCTGTTGCCCGGTAGAGTGCTATGGCATCAGCTTAGCTCATTGCAACCTCAAACTCCTGGGCTCAAGTGATCCTCCTGCCTCAGCCTCCTAAGTATGTGGGGCTACAGGCATGCGCCACCATGCCCAGCTAATATTTTTTTTTTTTATATTTTTAGTTGCCCAGCTAATTTCTTTCTATTTTTAGTAGAGACAGGCTCTCACTCTTCTTCAGGCTGGTCTCAAACTCCTGAGGTCAAGCAATCCTCCTGCCTTGGCCTCCCAGAGTGCTAGGATTATAAGCCTGAGCCACCACACCTGGCCCTTAGATGTCTTTTAAAAGCAGTTTTTCATTATATCTATTTTCTCATTTGATTTCTGCAACAAAAATATTAGATATATTTTACGTTAATAGCCCCCTTTCCACATGAGGAAGCTGAAGCTCCAAGAGGCTACATGCTTCACTAATAAATGGTAGCACTGCAAGTCCAACCAAGACCTTTGAGTTCTGAATCCCATACATTTTTCACTTTTTCTTGTAGTTTTTCATCCAAGCCCTTGACATTAACATTTTTTCTTGTACATTTCAACCATTCCACAAATTAATACAAACAACAACATTTATGTAGCTTTAACAATGTACTAAGGCTGAATTTAAAGCCTGTATGTATATTAACTAATTTAATCTTCTGAACATCCTATGGAGATACTGAGCCACTGTTTACTATGTGTCCTTGAAGAAACTGCTCAAAGTCTTTAAACCTCAGTTCTCTCCCATGTAAAATGAGTAGCTTGGATTAGAACAAAGATGGCAAATAGATTCTAATCAAGATTCCAACTCTGACCAGTTGGTAATAGCTGCTGAAGAACTATAGTGAAAAGTATTCTGAGGCCACGTTGAGGCTCAGCAGTAATGTCAGGATGGGGGAGTAACACATGCTGCATATTTGCCATCTATGAAATGCATGGACTCCAAACCCTTCCCTAGCACGAACATTCTATGGCTCCAAGATCCTAATTTGTTCTTAATAATCATCATATGCAGGCCCTAAAACCTAAATTTAGAACATTAATTGTACTACCACTAGTTTTCACTTCCTTCACCTCTCTTTTCTAGTTTCCAAGAATTCCTAAAGGGCAGCAACTTGCTTTTCTCTAGCATAAAGGCATATTAGTGTCTCTCATTGTGACTTGCTTCCAGTTTAAACACAGAATGTTTCGTGGGGACTGTGACAAAATATTCTGCCAAGATTCTGACAGCTGCAGACGTCCACACACAGCTCTGTGCTGCTCTCCCACTTTCAGCCATGCGGCTGCCAAAACAAGACCAAGAAATTGTTTGTACCTTTGTCAGCTGTTATTTCTAAGTGCCAACCCCTCCAGAGCAAAAAATAGAAAAACTCCTAAGAATGACTATTTTATGGAGGTGACACAGCAGCATTTAAAAAAACAAAAACAGTTGGTGTTTAGAGCTGGAACACCTGATGCCTCTCAGTGACTCTGACCTGGTTTCAGCTCCTATCTCTGTCCCCACCCCTGTGTTCCTTTGTAAACACTACCCCTATGCCCCAGCCCCACAGAGAATTCTACTTCTTTTGCCCTTTTGGACAGTGCAATATACTCAACAAGAGTCAAAAAAAAAAAAAAAAGATGTGGTATTAGATCTTGACTCCACTACTTACTACCTGAGGAAACAGACTTCATTGATATCTTGAGCCTCAGCTTCTTCAACTGTAAGATGGGGATCAGTGGGATATCTACTGCAAGCAATGGCCGTGAAAAATAAAAGTGAACGTTGGCTGGGCGCGGTGGCTCACGCCTGTAATCCTAGCACTCTGGGAGGCCGAGGTGGGTGGATCGCTCAAGGTCAGGAGTTCGAGACCAGCCTGAACAAGAGTGAGACCCCGTCTCTACTAAAAAATAGAAAGAAATGATCTGGACAACTAAAAAATATATATAGAGAAAAAATTAGCCAGGCATGGTGGTGCATGCCTGTAGTCCCAGCTACTCGGGAGGCTGAGGCAGGAGGATCGCTTGAGCCCAGGAGTTTGAGGTTGCTGTGAGCTAGGCTGACGCCACAGCACTCTAGCCTGGGCAACAGAGCCACACTCTGTCTCAAAAAATAAAAATAAAAAAAAAATAAAAGTGGATGTAAAAGCCCCTCAAGAGCTACAAAGTGCCATATAGACATGAATATTCTTTCCTTCATTGCTATGACTTTTTTTCTCCCCTTCTGTCTCCTTCCCATTACCCATAGGGCTTTTCATTCTTGAACATGAAAGTAAAATTTGGCTTCAGGTACTGAATTCACAGCAATTATGTAATGCCCACCTGCACAGCTTCCCTGCAGGCTTCCTGGGTATCACACGGTACCTGATTGTCACAGGGCCTTGAGAATTGAGAAGGCCGTGACACAGGGGACGCTGCCATTGCTGGCTGCCAGTACTGAACCAGCACCAGTACCTTTCATAGGGAAGTAAATCAAAAGGCAATGAATAAATGAAGGGCTACAGAACTCTAACAAAATTAATCAAAACTATGCTTTGCCCAGCTTTTCTGAATCACAAATCATGCATACTGACATCAAATATCTTATTTAAAGTTTGCCTTCAGAATGCTCCATCAGAATGATTTGCAAGGCCCTGGAAAGAGATTCTTATGGAAGCATGATGTGTTTTATTTATTTAGAGAAAAACCACGTTTTCCAAAGTGAAGTGACAGTATTGACAGAAGCACAAAGGAGAATCTACCTTTGACCTCGTTGCTCATCCCGTTTCCCAGACTGAGATCAGAGTGCAAATTCATTCACATCTTTCTTTTTGCTAAGCACTCAGCTGGGCACTGGGGCACAGCGACGAATGAAACTCTGTCCCTGCCTTTGTGGAGCTCCCAATCTAATGGGGAGGTGCAAGGATCACCCGACATTTGAAATTTTTGTTAACTCGTGCTCAGAATTCTCCCCTCACACATTAATCATTTCATGAAGATTTCCCTGTAAAGTTATAGTCTAACGCTGGAATGTTAGTCTGCCATGCTTCTATACCTAAAAATGTACTTTTTCCCCAAGAATTTTTATGCTACTCTCAATGCCTATGACCTCTGCATAGCTCAGGCTTTAGATAACAGGGTCTCAGCAATCAATCACCTTCACTTTTTTTTTTTTTTTGGCCTAGACTCTGTAAATTTCAATAGTTTAGTTTATTCAAAGGGAATCATTCTTTTTCTGAATACAAAAAATTGTAAATCTGACTCCTTGCACAGCAAACCCCTGCCCAGATGTGGGAAAGCCCCCTGAATTTCTAGGGCAGCCATCGATAGATGCCGCTTAGGCTCTCGGTGCCTTTAGGAAGAAGTAGCTTGCCACAGTAGTGTCATTCTGAGAGAGCAAGCCTTGAGACTGAAATAAGATATGACTTAAGCCTGGGGCCATTTCTCACACTTAAAAAAGTGAGACATCCCCACCCCCACCCCTCTCCAGCTACCCATCCTCCAGAGAAGACATCTATACTTCACAGCTGTACCCCCATATTGCTTAACTGCCCCAAATCCGTTGTCATTATCAAAACAGTCTGGTATTAACTTCTTTTATGAAATTAATTCACCTTTCGCTGGTGCTGTGGCTATTGAAGGAGGAGAACCTGGCACTGGCAGACTGTGAATGTGCTTCAGGGGTGGGAGGATATAAAGCAATGAGGTGAATTGTCCTTTGCTTTAGGAAAAGCTACTTCGTATTCCACTCTTCCTCCACTATCTCCTCTAGCAGACACGAAGTCATTTTCAACAGCCCTACTAACCGATTTTTCCCCAAAGGTTAGTCAGCAATAAGCCTAATGTAAATATGAGAGCAGACCCTTCTGGGTTTGCAGCTGAATTGGGCTAATCCCATGGCCAGTTAATTCATCAGTTGGATAAAATAGATGATTGAAAAAATAATTGCCAAAACCAATTTATTTTCCATGGTTATTTGTTGACTGGAGGTCTACCCTGATTCAGACAGCTTGCAGCAAATGACGTTGGAGGCTGACGTTTTACTATTATACTTCGTCTTCCTTAGTGCTCTTTCTAAAGTTTCAGGGCATAGCTTAGCAGCAATTATAACCAATGCTGTAGGACCGTCCTCAATTTTAAATCTTCTTCAATTGACTCACAGCATTTTCCTGATGAATTAATATTAGGGTAAAATCCTTAGTGTCCTGATGAAGTTTTCATATCGTAAATGAAACAAGCAGACACTTGCTTTTAAACCGTGTGCTTCTTGGGGAACTAACAGAGAAGATGAAATAAAAGGTACAGAAATTCTGATTATGTAGCAGCAAACCATAGAATGGAGCCTTTCCTTGAACTAAATGGCTTCCTTTTAGGTAGCGATTTTTTATGTTGAGGGCATGGCACTCCATTTCTCAATGTCTCACAGGGCACTACCATGCTGCAGATAGCTAGCGGCCAGTTATTGCTTAGAGTTATGACTATGTGGTAACCCAACGCTAAAATAGTGCTAAAGAGTTTTATGAGGATGAAGGGATTTTTGAATGGTTCAAGGAGAGAGCAAGGAAAATCAACCCTGAACTCTGTTTCCTGTGTTTCAGAGCAGGGCTTGTAGCTATAGTATATATATGAATGGTCGTTGGTTCACTGTAATTTTCCTTTCTTCTCTTCTCAGGAGGGCAAGAAGACCTCATTCTTTCCTACGAGCCTGTCACAAGACAGGAAAGTAAGTTTCCCAGCACGCTTTCATTACTGATTTCGGGGCCATAATGAGTGACTCACCATTGAAAGAGGGAAAGAGTGAAGGAAAATAAACTCTGCTTAATACTCAGTTGTCCCCAGACCCTACCCTACTCTCTCTCTCTCTTTCTCTCTGTCTCTCTCTTTCTCTTTGACCCCATCACCAAACAAACAACTTCCCTGCTGAGCATGGGCAGTAGCAGCTCCTAAGAGAACAGTAACCCTCCAGATGAGTAGTCCTCAGAGGAAAGGAGCACATCCAAATCACCTAAAGAGCCCTAGCTACAGGACTGGTGGGTAAAATCTCCTGGGAGACTGAGGTCAGCTCAGTATTGAGAAGAACTTCTAGCAGATCTGCCTAAGACATAGGCCCTCTGTGAACTGCTTCTTTTTCCTGGAGGCATTTGAACGGAGGCTAATGGCTATTGACAAGGACATTGCAGAGTAAATTCAAGCAGCAGATGGGGAGTTTACCAAATGAACTTTAGGGTTCCTTCTAATCCCAGATACAAACCTCAGCAGAGTATAGAGAGTATTTTGCTCTGAGGAAAAGAAATTATAAAAGCACAAGATGTTATTACTACTAACAATTAGTTTTTAAAGTCATGTCTAAACAATGGCTAAACAGCTGGTTTAGATTCTTTTTTCTCCCACTCAATTGACTAAATTCAGTTGTTTTGACATTGTGTAGGCATAACCAGAGAGTAAGCAAAACTCCTCCAAATGGTTCTTTTCGTTGATAAACACTGCAGTTACTTTTCCCTGTTGGTAAATCCCAGAAAGTAGGCACAGCCAACATCCTGAATGTTAAATGTCAGTTTCCCTACGCAGGGCTGTATGAGTAATTTATCCAGTGAAGTAATGCCCTTAGCAGTTCTTACTGCTTGGCAATTTCATCTTAAGACTCACCCTTGCAGGACAGCTTTGCAGTTTTTTCCAAGTCTTTCTCTACATCTACATCTTCCTTTGCCTTTCTGCAGTAAACTATACCCGACCAGTGATTATCCTGGGCCCGATGAAGGATCGGATCAATGATGACTTGATATCTGAATTCCCTGATAAATTTGGCTCCTGTGTGCCTCGTAAGTATCATTTTTCATTTCTCTAGGAAAAAAAAAGCTTGGATCCTTTTTGAGATGCTAAAATGTAATTCTGTTCCTCCAATAATCTCTCCAGTGGTTCAAATACCGTCAATTACTTATTGTCTGAGCACCTTATTTAATTTCTCTGCCTAACACTTCTCATCTATGCTGCTATGTGTTCTTATCTATTTAGTAAGTATGGTAATGTCCTCTCTAAACTGACTGTAGTCCTCTAGAAGTCAGGATTAATATTTGTAGCCCCTTAGTATTTAAAACAGCATAGGATTTATGATAGGCATCGTATATTCTTATAGGTTGATTAAAATGCCACTGAAACATCTTTTTCCATAAAATGGAAGAGATCAGAAACAAAGCTGTGTATTAAAATCATGTCAGGATGACTTAGGGTTATATGTCAATCCCAAAGCAAAACAGCCTTTTCCAGCCTCTGGCCCCTCTCAGTGTAGCCCTGTAAGATTCTCTCTGTTCTACCTCTCCCCTCTCTCCACCACCACCAGACTTTCTCCTCTCACTTATCCCCATCTCTAACCCAACTATGGCACAAAGAAATGCATGGAGATCTTCTGTGTATGTGGACAGACCCACAGGAAATTTCAGTTCATTAGAAATGGAGCTCTTAAATATGATCCCAACGAATATTTTTCTCTCACCCTACGTTTTTTAAGCTTTATGCTTCCAAGTATCTCTAACATTTCAGTACTGTAAATTTCACCTGAAATACATAAGAATAGTAGGAATTTTATGTGCTCAGTACATGGACAAAAGAAGACTAGGATTGATGGCTATATCTCATGAAATGATTCCCAGCAAGGGCTCTGGGAAGAGATCCTCCCATAGAACACATCCTGAGAAAGTCTTGAGATAGGGAGGAGAAAATGAAACACTAGTTTCAGATTGATCCAGATTGATCTTCCACTTTTGAAAAAAAGAAAACAAAAAGTACTTAAGCACTGTTTCCACTTTCCCTTCCACCTTGCATATGGTCTCTCTTTTTTCATTAATAGCACAAGTTAAACAAGAAAATAAAAAGTACACAGAATCCCACATAATACTCAGAGATATCATTGTTGATATTTTGGTATATTTCCATCTACTTTTTCTTTCTATATGCATTTTTCCATATAATTGAGCACTTTTTTTGCTTAACATTTAAAATTTTACATAACTATTTTAAATGATTATTATATAATAATCATTCTTCATTTATGGACATTTTGGGTTTCCCTATTATTTACTAGTATGAATTATAAGTAAAATACAATTGTAATTATGTATTATAATTAGTATTTATAAATTAATATAATGAATATCCTTAAGGGTAAAATTGTATCTGAAGTTTTGATCATTTTCCTAGATCAATTCCTAGAACCAAGTCAAAGATTGGAAATATTTTAACATTTTTTAATTGATATTGCTAGATTGTTTTCCCCTTCTCTTCTTACCAAAAAATCTAGATGGAATGGTTAGAGTTGCTGACTTTTAGTCCCACCTTAACTGTGATTATCTTATTTTACATATTTTTAAATCTCTGAATATATTTATAACTATATGTCCATTTTTTCTCCTGTTTATGTGACACATTTTCTTGCTTCTTTCTTATCTCATAATCTTTTATTTTGTGTGAGACATTTTGATGCTATATTGTTGACCATCTGGATTTTGTTATTTTCCTTTGTAGAATATTAAGTTTTTTTGCTAGCAGGCAATAATTTCTTGACACATCAGCTTGTTCCAGTTGTGATTTGGTTTTATATTTTGTGAAGGAGGGTCTAGAATAAATATAGAATAACTTTCTAAAGCATGATCTCTCCAAAGTCTCAACCAAATGTCCAGTTCTGACTGAACTGCAGTGTCTCCTAGCGCTATGTGACCTTCAGGTGCTCCATTAGGAAGTGGCCTCTATACAGAGAGGTGGGGTGAATGTCCCCTCATGTGTTTCCCTTCTCTCAAGGATTATAACCCTGAACTGCCTGTTGTCTGATGTCTGAAAACAGTTGTTACATATGTTTTGTTCGGTTTTATAATTATTTATGGTGGGAGGGTAAGACTGGTACTTGTATTATATCATGGTGCTTTGTATCACATATTTCTGCATATCTATGTTGAGGGTGTGGTGGAGAAAATATGTGTAAAGGAAATTTCTGAATATAAATGTACCTTAATTTTATTGTTTCTTGTTTTATAAAGATACTACAAGGCCAAAGCGTGACTACGAAGTGGATGGCAGAGACTATCACTTTGTCATTTCCAGAGAACAAATGGAAAAAGATATCCAAGAGCACAAGTTTATAGAAGCCGGCCAGTACAATGACAATTTATATGGAACCAGTGTGCAGTCTGTGAGATTTGTAGCAGAAAGAGTATGTTCACCAATCTTCTTACACCTCCCTTGAAGAAGTTTTCTAGGTGGCAAATTGCATTTTTTTGGTCATTACTCTTTCCTGATTGCAGTTGTAAATTTTAATTAAATATTCCTTTTAAGACATCCAAGCAGAGAATCACCTTAGAGCAATGTCATTAATCTTTGTTCTAATCTCAATAAAGTATTCTGACTGACTTGGAGAGAGTGGAAATGGGGGTGGTCTATAAACCTCAAGGCACTTAACAGCTTGAAGTTTATGGGGATTCACTTTGTCCTTGACTCACTATCTGAGGCCCCAGTAAACAACACTGAATTTATGAAGGAAGGCTTACTACTTACTTTTGTTTGTCTAGATAGGGATCCTCAATTCTATTGTTAGAGGAAGGGTTTTTTTGTTTTGTTTTGTTTTTCATCTCTCTAAAAACTTGACACTTTCATGGAAGAGGGGGAGATAGAGGAGGAGGGCTGCCCAGCCTGTTGCTGGCAGTTCAGTTCTCTTCTTGCTGATAATTTCAGGGGCATGGAAAAGAGAAGAATGTTCAGGAGAGGATTGAATAGGAAGGCACCTGTGTGTGACTTTAAGACCTGACTATAGAGAGATCTTATCTCCTGTGAAAACAGAAGAGAAAATATTTGTTGAGTTGATTTGATTTGACATGACCTTTTTCAATGTACTGATAAAGAATTAAACAAAAAATTTTAATGTCTATCTGAGAATGCACTAAGAAGTTCCATCTATTTTCCTGTCTCTCAAAAGTTAGGCTCTACCAGCTATATGAATACTGGTTCTTTTCAGTGTCCTGGATAATTGCATCTATTTTCCTCTTTGAACATGTAGATACAACTTTCATTAACTTGAAATCTTCTGACTAGTGAATAATCAAACAGCATTTATATATTTGATATAGGTGTTGCACTTTACAGGTAGCAAACTTGGAATCTATTATTTAAGTGATAAAGGCTTGAACCATCTTAGAGTGTTTCTCATATGAGTTCGAGTATTCACTGAAGTATTTAAGTATTCATTCTACTCATTTTCATGTAGATATTATAGATGAGTTTTTATCCCTTATTATTGGTTTAGGACTGTTCCTATCTGCATAAAGTGCTTTTTTTCTCTTCTTATGTAAAGTTTTTCTAGCCTCAGGGTAATGAGGCCATTTCTCTCCAGGAGGTAGAATATGATGTGGCAAATGTATCTACCTTTCCAGAAATATTTTACGAAGCAGCTAGCTCCTTGCTCTGAGCACTTATTGCAGTGGAAGCCAAGTTAAATGAAGTGTGCTATAATGTAATATGGTTTTTGTTTGTTGACAAACAAGAAATTTACATACTTTGTGCAAGCCTCTCTCTCAGCATTCAACCATATAATATTTAAGTTAACTGTTTCTGTCTGTCCTCCACTAGACTGAACATACTGAGGGCAGGATGCATGTAAGCACTCAGGAAATGTTTGTTGAATTGTTCTAAATTCGCATGATTATGATTCTTCCAAGTTTAATGTTGGGCAGGGAGAGACAATAAGGTGACTATTTATTCCGACCAACAATTCTGTCAGTGCTGAAGACCTGGGTTTAAGTATTCCTAGCACTGAATTTTTGGGCAAGTTGGTTAATATTTTTAAGCCTTAGTCTTCTCTTCTGTAAATGCAATTGATAACACCTGTGGGAATTTCTTCTTGACAATTGTCTTCAGAGATGGCTTATGAGCCTTATAAGAATGGACTCAGTCACATGACATATGCTGCACATCTTCTTTGTGTAGAGCATCAAGTATTAATTTAAGAAAATAAAGTAAACTGAGAGGACACGTGAAAAATGTCCAGCCCAGTGGCAAAACTTAATAAGCAAGCACTCAGTGATGGCCCTATATATCAACTTTGCAGTGATCTTTTTTTAATCTTTAGAAATCCAGTATCCCAGAATAGACATTTCTCAAAAGAAGACATACAAATGTCCAATAGGTATATGAAAAAAATGTTCAACATCATTAGTCATCAGAGAAATGCAAATCAAAACTACAATGAGATATTATCTCACCCCAATTAAAATGACTTTTATCAAAAAGACAGGCAATAACAAATGCTAGCAAGGATGTAGAGAAAGGGGAACCCTCATACACTGTAGGCAGGAATGCAAATGAGTGCAACCACTATGGAAAAAGGTATGGAGGTTCCTCAAAAAAATAGCAATAGAACTACCATATGATCCAGCAATCCCACTGCTAGGTATATATCCAAAGGAGGGGAATTCAGTATATAGAAAAGATATCTACACCCCCATGTTTATTACAGTTCTATTCACAATCGCCAACATGTGGAATCAACCTAAGTACCCAGTAACAGATGAATGAAGAAACTATGGGACATATGCACAATGGAATATTACATAGCCACAAAAAAGAATGAAATCCTACTATTTGCACCAACATGGTTAGAACTGGAGAAATTATGTTAAGTGAAATAAGCCAAGCAGAGAAACACAAATTTGGCATATTCTCATTCCTATGTGGGAGCTAAATACTAAAAACAATTGATCTCATGTAGACTGAGAATAGAATGATGCTTACCAGAGACTGGGAAGGGTAGCAGGGAGCGGGGGATACAGTGGGGATAGTTAATGGGTACAAAACTGTAGTTAGATAATTAGATAGAATGAACAATATTTGATAGTACAACAAAGTGACTATAAATAACAGTAAGTTAGGGTATACTTTAAAATAACTAAAAGAGTGGGATGTTCCTAACACAAAGAAATGTTAAAGGCCTGAGGTGATGAATACCCAATTATCCTGATTTGATTAATTTATATTGTATGCCTGTATCAAAACATCACATGTATCCTATAAAGATATACGACTATTATGTACTCATAATAATCAAAAATAAAAAATATATTTTAAAAAAATAAATAAAAATGTAATTTTATATAGTAAAATTTAAAAAAAAGAAAAAGAAAAAAATCCAGCATCCCATACCTTCCTCTAAAACACACATAGCTTATTTCCTTTTGGTTGAATTACGGCCATTTTTTCTGTACTAACTTCATATTTTTCTGTTCTTTCTACCAGGGCAAACACTGTATACTTGACGTATCAGGAAATGCTATCAAGCGGTTACAAGTTGCCCAGCTCTATCCCATTGCCATCTTCATTAAGCCCAAGTCTCTGGAACCTCTGATGTGAGTAGAGGGCACTGGAGGCCTTCATCCAACTAACTGCCTGTCCCATAATACACAGCAAATTGTTAACAGCTCTTAGGCACAAATGCTTACACATGAGAAATGCCATTGTTGATTTTTAAGCATTCTCTTTTTTTTAAGATATATTAAAGTTTTGGGCCAGGTGCGGTGGCTCATGCCTGCCAATCCCAGCTACTCTGGAGGCTGAGGCAGGAAGATCGCTTGAGACTGCAGTGAGCTATGATGGTGCCACTGCACTTGAGCCTGGGCAACAAAGCTAGACCAGTTTTTTTTTTTTTTTTTTTAACTACTAGAGACATAGTGTCAGTAATTCCTTAAAAGGTCTTCACTAATGTTTCCTGATTTTTGTTTTCCTGTTTCACTAGTTATTTTCTTTGTTTTAGTTTTTTGGTTCTTTGTTATTGTTTTGAGGGTTGCTTGGTTTGGTTTGGTTTGGTTTGGTTTTTTGGTTTGGATTTGTTTTCCAAATGATAGGAAGCAATCATTTTGTAATTGTCTCTTACTTCTGCGAGCAGATCCATAGATAAATCTTTTTAAATGTGTGGATTTTTTATAGAGGGAGCAGACAATCTTTTAGACTTTTCCCATTGGCATTGTACTTTGTTCTATAATGGAATTCTAATGTTCCTTAATTAAAACTTCACATATATGGATCACTGTTCTTAATCGAGAGTTTTCTTAGTGTTATGGCAGTGAAACATCTGTAACTTAAACCAATAGCTCCACACCTGTGCACATTTATAAACAAGCAGAAAATACATGACTCAGATTTTTTATTTTCTTTTTTTTCCTGAAGAGCTTGTAAAATATCTTCCTTCAGGAATCAGTAAACAAATTGGGCAGCTATTCATGATCTGACTCTATAAAGTTATAGGCAACTCCCATTCATAAAAGTGAAGCTACAGTAGATAAAATAGTAGAGGAAACAGGCTACCAGCAGAGACTTGAAAATTGACTGGGCCAGGTTTGGTTCTTTGCTTTGCCACTGATCACTTATATAACCCTGGGCAAATTGCTTGACTGACCCCCTAAGATTAGTTCCTCACCTCTAAACTAGGCACATTAATAAGTACCTCATAGAGCTAGTGTAAAGGTTAAAGAACAAGATTACGAATGTAAAGCTTGTCATATAGTCTTTGGCATATAGTAGCTTTTATTATAAAAGACATAAAGTTACTTTATTATAAAAGAATAAAGCTATTTTATCATTATAGAACACATAAACAGCACCAAGAGAGTACAAGAGATAATGCCAATGTGTCTGTTACAAGAGCCTTGCTCAAATACTGCCTCCGTTTGGGCCTCAAGACCACAGTGTTTGGCAGGGTTCAGGAGTGAACCGCAGAGTCCTGGAAAACAATGTTTATGGAGAGACTGAAGAAACAGAAATTTAATCCCAGAGGTGAAAGCAGTTACTTACATAGGATATCGACTAACTGTTACCCGCCTCCTCCAAGGGTGAAGAAGCAAAGCAAACTGTCGCAGCTGGAATGGCAGCCTGACAGAATTAAGTCAAATACATAGTTGATCTCTGGGGAAATTGCCAGAGCTGTATCTTAAAAGCAGAATATAGTCCCATAAATAAAAGATGGACAAGAGCTTTTACCAGGATGAAAAAATAAAATTGGGAGGTCACTGACAGTACCTTCAGCCCCATGAATTTAGGTATTAAATTATAAGGGGAAGAGTTTTTCCCAGAGTTGGCACATGGAAAAATATGTATTGATGATAAAACGATGGTTCTTAATATTATTATCCAATAGCACATGTTAAATTTCTCCTTACATAGAATACTATGCTGCATATTGCACAAGGTGAATTAAGTGAATTAAGCAAGTGCAAATTTCATTGTGTAAAAGTGATTTATGATCTGTAAAGAGCTTCATAAACATGATATGTATAACATTCATAAAAAGAGTAGAAAATGGCCCTCACCTCCTGGGAACAGTCATCTTAAAATCCTGTTTCAGAAATAGAAAAATGTCTTCACATTGGAAACACGCAGTGGGATAAATGGCTTCCCGGGGAGGTGAGGCCTCAGAAAGCCACAGCAGTGGCACATCTGGTCCAGTGTGATATTGGGAGATAGTCCCATCTGGTGCTCCATGGGAGAAGTTCTACTTCCTTCCACAGCTGTGAGATGACTTATTTAGTTTTGCCTTAGGGCACTGTCACAGCCACTTATCACCAAGGAACCTCAACCATACCGAAGGCTGGATTGCACAATGAGGACAGTGAATAATAATTTGCTGCAGCCATATTCATGGGTCTCATGACATTCAGACCAAAGCGATCTTATTATTAAATGCTGGATATTTACTTCACAGTTCACTCTTTTTCAAGGCTTTTACTCAGGAGCAAAGCGGGCATGAATTGCCCCTTCCCTGGGGAGGAGTGAATGCTAGGTCAGCCAGAACAAAAACACAGCAGCTGTCACATTTAGGTATTGATACGTCGTCACACACATTATTTCTCAAGTGCATCGTCCACATCAAACCCCAGAGCTTATTAGCACATACAGAGCTGGCTCTGCAGAGGAGCATGAAATCAAGGGCATGTAGGAAAGAGATGTTCTTTTTATATTGTGCTGCCACCTGACTTCTGTTACCTCCCTCCCACAGCCATGAGATGCTTTCCTGTGCCTCTTCGCCCTGCCACCTCCAATCTGCTTCTCCTTTCTTGCTCCTGTGATGCCCTGTGTTTACTTCTGTCTTCAACTATGTCAAAATTATGTTTATTTTCCTAGCTCCCCATTTATTCATTTATTCCTTCACTATTCATTAAACAAGTGTTGAATCAGGCTCCATGCCACATGCTGATTTAAAAAGCCATGGTCTCTGCCCTCAGATAACTCATAGATTAGTCACAGAGACAAAATAAATTCATATGTGAGAGGATAAAAACCTAAACCAAGTCATTGCTACAATAAGTGCAAAGGGAATTCAGAGAAAACAGACCACCATGGGCCAGGCAAATCAAAGGGGCTACATGATTTCTTGACACCTAGCGCAAATCACCATCTTCAGCAAGGAGTATCCCTTGGCTTTTCCCAGCATCTTCTGCACCCAAGAGTGACATCCACTCAAACTTCTAAGGCTAGGACTGTCTGGGAAAAGAATTGTGGATACCATCCTTCAGGACAAAATGAATTTACTTAAGCAAAAAGAGTTTAGGAAATTCTCACTTCTTTATATTTCAGCCCTCAGCTTGATGTCCAAAAACTTGTTGCTAACTTTAATTTTTTTTTCCAGTTTTTTCCAAATAAGCCTCTTTTGAAAGATATCAAGTCTTGGTGTAATGGGTAGTCTGCTTGACTAAAACTGGGTTAAAAAAATTTTTTTAAATTTCTTACCCCAGGTTACTCTTTATTAAATATACAGCTTTAGGCAAGTCCCTTCATTACGTCAAGCCTCTGTTACTTGCTCTGAAAAAGGAATTGACTGAGACCAGGTGTTCCAGACTTGGGTCTCTGGCTTTCTAAGCTGCACGCGAGGCAGTAATGCTTTCAGAAATTCTACGTGCACCTGTGATGCATCCTAGTGGGCCAACCAAAATGTCCTTGCATTTGGCGGGACTTTTTGTAGCAGCTGGAGAACATGGGAAGATATACCTGCCACTGGTTAGAAATCAGTAGATTAGATTTCAGAGAGAATTAGAGAATTTTCCATTTCTCTCTTGTCTTGATTTGTCCTTGAAACTAGGCTCAGTTTAAATAATCTTACAATGATTAAGCAAAGTTTATATACAGTTCATGATATACCAATGGTTGACAGACTGACAGAAAGTAAAGGACAGAAAGTCCCAGGCATAATTCCTTAATGGCTTGTTTTCCTATTAGAACAAAAGTAAGCAAAGTAGGCATCAGAGATTCTTTTATACCAAGCTCCTCTATCCTGGCTCACTGTTTGATTAAATTATTTGCATATAGTCTACTTGAAAATGTCTTGGTCCCAGCATTTTTGATTGTTCTATTCTGTGTCTATTTTAATTCAGTCCTCCTTTAGCAGTTCCTTAAGCTGTCATTTGATTATAAAAACAAAGAAAGTTCAGGGCTCTTATTGCTATAAACATGCCTTGCTATTTGCAGAAGTGGAGCAAGAAAAGCTGCAGAATGTCTTTTTGGCCTGAAAAATACACATACCTAAGGAGCGTACCCCATTTTCTATAATTCTTTGGAAATACCTAATGTTTCTGCACTCCATATATTTTCAGGTACACATTGAAAATAAATAGCAACCCTTAAGGAGGATTAGGAAGTCAAGAAATCAAAGCCTTTTGCAAGGTCAGGTCGTGAGAATCGTCAAGTCTAGTTCTCTCAGATGTGATGAGGCCCAACAAGCTGAGATGTACCTTCCCTTCCCTCCATCTCATCTCCTTCTGCTGTCCATCCCTGGAAGATTTCTTCCATTCTATATCCTACATTTAAGATATACTAGAAGAAAATCCAAGGAAGTGTGGCCAGGAAAGTTCGGATTTAGAAAAATTATATCCATTGAGGAAATAGATAAAACAAGTAGGACAGTTTATTCTGAAGAAGTGGAAGCCTCAAGGGACACATGAGCACTTTATTTAAATACCCTAGGGCCTGCCATGGAGGAAGTTTAGCCCTACTCTAGGCGAATGCAGAGAACAGAATAGGGACCAGTGATTACAAATCATAAGGATAGATAGATTCTACTTCAATCCTCTGAAAGACCAAGATACTGTTCTCTGACGAAGTGAGTACTCTAGCAGGGAGTCCTGATTGCTGAAGTTATTTCAGCAAAAAGGAGTCCTAAATAAAGACTAGGAAGCTGCTGTTAAGATTATATTAATATTATGCTTCCTGCAGGATTTACTTTTGCCATACATTTTAATTTTTTAGGAATTAGTATATTCCCTTTGTGTTCTAATACCAAACCCTCATTTTTCCCAGGGAGATGAATAAGCGTCTAACAGAGGAACAAGCCAAGAAAACCTATGATCGGGCGATTAAGCTAGAACAAGAATTTGGAGAATATTTTACAGGTAAGTTCATTTACCTTGGCACTGTGAGAAAGGAGATGAGTTGTCTGACATTTGGCATAGAGAGGGCTCAGGCCCCAAAACCTTCTTGTTTAGAGTCCCTAACATCTGTTTCATGTGCAGGGAGTCTCTCTGCTTCACCTGTTTGCATCAGAACTCTGGGTTCAGCTGCAGCCAGCTCCCAGATTCCACTGACCCTATCCAAAACCAGAAGCAGCAGGTGCCCCTGAGCCATTGCCTGCTATTAAGGAGATTTTAGGCATAGATACCTTATTAAATTATCTCCCTGATATCATCAGAAAACTTGACAATAAACTTTTAGGGCTCAAAATGGGCAATGTCCAAAGCAGTTACTCTTCAGAAGCAGCCTGGGGCCCCTATTCTCTGCTTTTGTGACCAGTAGTCTGTTTCTCCATCAGCAGCACTTGAATAAGATGCTTGAAACATTTCCCTTGTGTTTCAACTAATCCTGTATCAAGTCTCAGTGCAAAAATTTTTTTTTAATATTTCCTTGGAAAGGTGAAGTTTGGAGAATAGAGGAAGATTTTCTTCTTTTGGGTACGCTGAGTTCTCTATTCTTATGTGCTTTCATGGAATACGGATTAAATCCAGAGAGTAATCTTGGGGGGGAATTTGCCTTACAACTGATTCTCAATGACTTAAAAACAAGGACTTTTCCTTCTGAATTACTTTCTGTGAAATTAGATTTTTTTAATCTTGTTCTGAATATGTTTCTGTCAATAACTAAGATATAAATTATGTTTCATCCTAAAAGAACATCCAGGCAGGAAAATCGATCAAAACAATGTACATTTTGACCAGTAGTTTATATTCAGGAATAAAATGCAATTATTAATATATTCTGAGGACTGTTTTTGAAGATCTAAGCCAGTTTCAGCAGCAATTTATTTTTAAGCTCTAGTGTCATATGGATAATACTGATGTTTTTTGAAGATCTATCTACAAGTAGCTTTTGTTCAAAGGAGATAATAAAATGTACTTAAATCTATTCCTAGTGACTGCATGTTTTAGGTAATACACAATTTAGCAGTTTGTTTATGTTTCCTCCTATTTATGTTTCTTATAAGTAGTGGCCATAAGATAGTCTCAATAGGAATAGTCCTGTAAGGTAAAATCTCAGTTTACCAGATTACTTAGAAAGTGAATAGAGTCTCCCACTAAAGGCATTGGGGGTTGGAGGACTACCTAAAGTTTCCTCTAAAGCCTTTATTACTTCCTCTGTGTCTAAAATATCTTAATTTCTACCTCTGCCAGTGTAAGTTAAATATAGAGTCTACAAGGCCAGTCTTCTTTGCTAAACAGGGAGCTCTCAATCTGAAAACTGACCAGTGCCTACCTACCTACCTCAGTGCCAGGCTCAGAGGAGGTACCCATACAATCTTTATTAAATAAATGAATGATTCATAGTCCAAAACTACAGACAGACATATGGAAAATGCAAAACTCTGATACATTTATTAATGATCCAGGACATACATTGAAAGCATTTTTTTTCATCATTAATGTGACCTTGCTTATGTGAATTTTCTGCTTTTTCCTACTAATGAAACTTGCTATTAAGCTTTCTGATGAGTTATCTGTCACTGATTTGAGCTTCCACTATGTGAGTGATGATTGCTCTCCACCACCTAGGGAATGATTGCTAACTCTGGGTGTATTTGTTTTTGTTACAGCTATTGTCCAAGGAGACACCTTAGAAGATATATATAACCAATGCAAGCTTGTTATTGAAGAGCAGTCTGGGCCTTTCATCTGGATTCCCTCCAAGGAAAAGTTATAAATTAGCTACTGCGCCTCTGACAACAACAGAAGAGCATTTAGAAAAACAAAATATATATAATATACTACTCGGAGGCTTTTATGTTTTTGTTGCATTTATGTTTTTGCAGTCAATGTGAATTCTTATGAATGTACAACACAAACTGTATGAAGCCATGAAGGAAACGGAGGGGCCAAAGGGTGGGACAGAAGAGACATTGCAGTATGCAGGAAGGCTTTGGTTTGCTCAAAGTACCAGGTGTAGGGATGAACCTCTGATGGGCTTTCTGCCCAAGAGATGGGAGCCTCCTCACCCCAGCAGATGTCCAGAGCTGATTTAGCTGCTGAGCTCTCTGTGTTTTTTGCTTTAAAGAAAATTTGCCAGCACTCGAACCTCACCAACCTTCCCATTACCCACATCTGTAATTGGTACACTTCGAATTTTATAACTATGCACATCCTTTGATTTCTTAACAAGCAAATGAAAGAAAGAAGGAAAAAAGAAAGAAATCCCTCTGGAGACGGCATACTATCAGGGAAGGATAAGTGTGTAGTTTTTTTGACTGGCGTCTGCAAAGACAAGCATTTCATAAAATTTGCAAGTGTATGGAGGACTAACCTTACTGAGAGGAGGGGATTCCACCTGGGATTAGCTTTATAATTGTTGATTGTCTATTTTGCCATTTATAAACTGAAAGAAGGCACTAAAGATAAGAATAATTTATACAATAAAAATATATTAAATGTATAGATACAAATTTCTATAGGTTAAAAAAGTTTTGTGAACTATTTTGTAAAGACTAATTAATTGAAAGACTAAATGTATGCACTATCAGCAGATGATCAAATTCAAGAACTGAAAGTTGCACTCTCCCTTTTGTTGCCAATGATCCATTAAGAGCATCTGAGTTCCTTCCAAGTCTGAGAAAGACTTCTTCCTTGCTTACCTCCCATGATCTCCCTTCCACATTAGTGATACACTCTCATGGAGCACATCCCTTAATGAGTTGCCCTGGTGGATTTTTTGGAAGACATTTGGTTAATGCATTTTTAAGCCAATGGCTTTTCAGAGAAAGACTCACGCAAATGATCTAAAAAGAAGTTTTTGCTTTTCTCTGGTTAAATAACGTGGGCCTACCATGAAATAGTTGAATAGTATTGTTCCTAGTTACTTACATACAATTCTTAAAGGACCATTTAGTATTTTGGCCAACCATGAGTAATTAGAATTATTATTTTTTGTTTCACAGAGTGAGAGTTTTGTAACAGCCAGAGCCATTCTAGAGCCATGGGGCGATCTGTCTCAAGATGCACTATTTCTTTGAGGAAGAAGAGAAAAGAAGTATCTGATTGGGGGGTGAGGGAAGCAGACTTTTTTGTTTATGTACACAGGGCAAAGAGATAGAACTACAAGGGAAGACAATTAATGACTTTGAGCTCAACCAATTGAACTGCCTTTCTTGGAGCTTCACCTGGACCAAGTTTGTTTTCTTTTTAACAATTATAATAATGATGATTTTAAAAAAGGAACCTCCCAAAGCCTATAAACTGAACCAGAAGAGTTAGTTTCCCACTTTAGAGCTGGTGGCAACATCAGCATCGCTTTCGCCCAAGGCGTTTAGAGAGACTTTTCAGCAATCTCAGTAACCACTCAACTCTGGGTTCTGTGCATGCCCAGTCTAAGCCTCATCGCCTTATTTCTGGGGTACATCAAGACCTGGCAGGGATTCTGCCACACTGTGCAGCAAACCAGCATGTAGGCTGGGGTGGGAGAGCAAGAGATAGAGCCATCAGAGTGGTGGGGCTTCTTCACAACAAGAACATCAGAGCTCAGAATGAGAGTCTCTTTCCAAAAACAAGCGTTTTTCACCTTATGCTAGATACCATTGTCTGCCTGGCTGCAGTCACCGAAACAAACACAAAAATGCAAAATTATGCATCTTCCTATAGTCTCGAGGCTGCCTTTGCCAATGGAAGGGCTAGCAATGCATTTCCCTCTGATGAAAGTTAAATTTCCAGAGACTTCCTTAGAGTGCTCAAAATGTTAAAGATATGTCCATGTCTGCAATTCGCCAGTTTCAGGTCAAGGCCTACTTTCATCAATATTGCTCCTGGAAGATTTTGCCACCAGAACGCCATTCCTGATCCCCGTTCTATTTTTAGGCCACCATGATAACTTCTTTGGTTTCTCAACTGAGCATGCAATCATTTATTTAAAGGACTGTCATTAATAAGTAGATGTTTTTGCGGGTCGTGTGATGTGCTTTCCATTTAATAGTGTAGTGTGGCTGAGTACAATCAAATTGAACCACCAACCCTTGGTTTTGTAGTAATATAATTATTTATTTTCCTAGTGTAGATGCTTCCAGATTAGAATCAGCATTTGCACTGATTTTTTTATGTAGATTTATATAAATATATACATATATATTTGCTTGAAGAATCACCAAGCAAATTGGTGAGAGGGTCTTTTCCTGTAAAATTTACACCTCCATTTTTTGTGTTGTCATGCGCTTCCCAATGTTGAGGTCTCTATTGGCTCCAGTGAACTGGTGTATTTTGCAGCAAGTCTCATGACTTGTGTGGAAATGGCATGAAAGTTACCCAGATTACATCTGGTGCCAATGCACTCAGAGCCTGGGGCCAGACTGGTGCTAACACTGCAAACTTTGTCCAGAGCTCTCTCCAATCTGAAGGCTTGCTGGGGGCGCAATGTCACCTTCACATGCTGAGCCCTTTTGAAAAAGTGCCAGATCGTGTCACTGGTGCTATTTTTCATGCTCTGGTACAATGTGTAGCACCACGGGGATCTCAGCTTTACCAAAATCAAAATTCTAATTGTCAGCTAATTGCAGGGGCATTCAGTTTTGGCTCTTCTCTCACAGGATTTGTTGGCCATTTATTTGCAAGCCTCTTCTCCCAGCCCCAAATCCTTGGGCTGGCTGGCTGCTTAGTGAGCCCGTCTTCATAAAGCCACACTCAGGTGCCTCTGTGAGCTGTCTTAGATCCTACCGCCAGCCCTTCAGGACTTCGAGCCAGGAAAGACCTCTCCACGCCTCTGGCTCGTGACTCTTTTCTTTTCTCATTCTTTTCCTCTGCTCTCCTCCTTCTATTTCTAGCTCATTCTATCTCTTTTTGTTGCTTTCCCTTTTTCCTTCCTTCCCACCATCTTTGTTGACTTTCTCCTATAATCCTCTGTCCATCCCTCCTTCAGTCTCAGTCTTTTTATCCCCTTTTCCCCTCCTTTCCCGTCCTTTCTCTGCTCCTCACATCTCTGATCGTCTCCTCCCCGACACTCCGTTCCTTGATTTTTCTGTCCTATAAAGGGCTCATGGCCGATTCAGACAGCAAGTCCAAGCATTGGACTAGTGACACAATTACTTTGGGTCGCCATCTCACCTACTCAGCCCAGAAAGCAAAGCTGAGTGAGGCCCTGGCCTGGCGCTAGCTCCAGCGTGCGTCCTGGAGCCAGCCTGCACCGCTGCCCTAGCAGTGAAGATGCACGTGCTGTTGGCCCTGCCGGCGCCTGGGTGCCTCTGCCTGATCGCTGATCCCCGCTCCCAACACCTTCCCGTGGCTCTGAGGACATTTCTTTTTGCTAAAGGCAGACTCTGGCCCCAACAATTACTCTGACAGCAAACCTCTTCCTTCTCATTGAAGCCATGCCATCGCCTTGGTTTGGAGAGAGACATTTTTTTCCCATTCATAAGGTTTCTTTTTCCCATTTTCATGTGAAGCCCCCTCTGCTTTTCAAGCTGGTGATTGCTCTGGTGAGATTGAATGGACTTGCTGGTGAAATGACATCTCTTCTTTCCTGTCTTGGTCCTGCCTAAATTTTTACAAAATATTTAAGCCAAGGACTCAGGCTAGCTCCTAAGTTTATCATATTAATTTGTCACTACCAGGGGGAAAAAAAAAAAGGATCAATTCCCTTCAAGCATATGGAGTACCTCCTGTGCCAACTGATTTGCCAGGGGACTCCCTGCAGAATTCTGTGGCTATACATTTTACTTATGCGTATGTATGGTACATATGGTATGCATATCATGTATACACATATGACATTAGGTATGAATGAATGTGGTTGGAAACCCACACACACACTCCCGTCTGTAAATATCCTTCCTCACTGAAACCTGTGCTTCAGAAATCATTTCTTGTACAGCTGTGCAGTTTCTTGTAGCAGCTAAGGACAAAGCTAAGACAGAGGGACAAGTTAGACAAAGATCATCTAAAAGAGTACAGTGTCTCCCTAGCAACTCATGAGGACAGACAGTCAAGTGGCAAGGTTGACTCCCAATGGAATGGCAAGCTTTTCTTCCCTCCTTTTTAAATTTGTGTTTCCCAAGTGTGTTTTAACTTCTGAGTGCACCAGGCTGTACCCATTAGATCCTTTCAATATGACAATTTTGTGCTTCTCTGACAGGATGTTTCTCCATCGAGCTGTAGTGCAGGATGGGAGGGAGTGGGGGAATACTCCTTGCCTGGGCTGGAGTTTACAGAGACACTGCACAGCTTACACTCCTGTTAAGTGTAAATATTCAACACTTCCATTCCATTTGTGTAAAAAATAAAGCACACACGATTATAAAATCAAGATGTATATTTCATACTCAGTGTGTCTGTGCATATTTATTAATATTGCGTTTCCAGTTGTCGGCAGTGGCCCCATTGTAAAAATGCCTGATAGAGTGTTTATAAACATGTCATGGTTTTATTATAAGATATAAATATTAAAACATTTTATACTTTATAGCAAATGATTTTCTCCCAAAGCATAATTTGTCTCATTTCATATAATCACTCATTTCTATTTTTGTTAATTTTGTCTGATTCCAGAGCTAACATGCTGTTAGGGTAGGTTTGCTCTGAAAAATATTGGCACTGCTGAGATGAACTGAAAGTGGTGCTTTTGCATATTTTTAAATATCGGTTACCATCTCGCTGGCTTTTAGTCAGGATTTTGCCAAAAGTGAACAATGTAATAAAAGGTAGGTTGTTAAAGATTCTCACATCTATGTGGGTAAAAAAAATCAATTTCCCAGTGTCAAAATTGTGAGGTTCCAGAAGATACTAAAAATAGGAAATTTTTTTTCTTGTCTAAAATGTATGATGCAAAGAAAGGCACAGATTGGTATCATTGTCTATATGATATGTTTGGAGCCACAAAACAAATCAGCTCCAAAGATCCATATGAATCAAAAATGTCAGGTTTTGGAATCTGGATCTGTCAGATAATGTTCTAAATTCTTCACTTCAAATTAAATATATGTCTTGTCGTATTGCCATACAGGCAGCACAGGTCTGACAGTTGGAGAACCAAAACAAATTCCACCCCAAAAAGGGGTAAAGTTTCCCATCAAAGCAATCGCTTTGAGGTATACTTGGCTTCATGAGCAGCTATTATATAATTGGATCAGCCACTGGGGAAGCCAGACTATTAGCCACACCATTTGGCCATCACTGTGAGCCACCAGGAATCTCTGCCAGGTGTCCTAAAGCTGTGCCTGGGGTTCGGTGGTGAACAAATACTCAGAGGTGGCATAAGAAGACATAGACTGAAACTGCAAGACCATTGCATACCTCAAATTTTGACAATTATTCAATTTTTAACATTTACACAGTCTCACATGGTTTAATATTAGTGGTGACACTACACAAAAGCCAGATTTACTTCAATAATAAGTATGTTTATTCAAAAGGGAAGCAAGTTAGAAGAGCATTTGACTTTTCTTTGTGTCCTATTTCATTTCAGTATAACGATTTTTAAACTGTAATCATTCTAGAAGTCTTAAAAGCTAGAACTGGGCAGCATATCTCTGAACCTAAGAGGGCCTAACTATGACTCTATGATCTCTGTAGATACTCTGAGACCAAACACTCAGTGACAGAATTTAAAAGCCTCACCAAGACACAAAACTAAGGAATATTTATAGAGAGAGCCACCAGCTTGCTTAACACAACCGGACACACAGGCTTTAAAGTTGTCAGGGGAGGATGTGTTCCATGGATCGTAACCCCAATTTTTGTTCTCTGTGACTCAACTTTCCCTTAGGGACATCTCGGAAGGCACCACTGCTATGATCAAACTGATCTCCTCCCCTTTCTAATGTTACAGCCAAAGCTTGAAGTCCAGACCTTGTTTCTAATTCCTCTTAGCACAGTTTGGACAAAGCTAAAATGTTCAGTTAAACTTTGCTAAAGGCTGGGGATAACAAAAGGGAAATAAAAAATAGTCTGATTTATCATATGGGCTTAGTGCCCAGCTCCTGGCCGGCTGCCATGAGATAGAGGCCATCTCTCTCCCACCACCAAGGTGTCCTTTAAACACAGCTAGACCAGATGTCAGAAGCTTTCCTCTGTTGCAGGATACATGAGAGGGACTGTATTGGTGCCCGACTCAGCACCTGCCCCAGTAGCTGCAGGTTACAGGTGCCTGCTATCTCCATTTCCTTTGTTCCCACATACTAGAATACAAACGGCAGTGACTCACTGTGGTTGGCTTTGATTACTTCTTTAATTGTAAACTTCAAAGGACAATTTGCAACATGCTTCACAGCTGATATCAGCAGCAGGTCTCTGGTCTAAACTGATCAAGGCCCGAAAAGTAAGACCCAAGAGAGAAGAGTCCTCTCCCATTCTTGGAAGGCCTGTCTTCCTGGTTCTGACTCCCTGTCTTGTTCCCATGATTGACTCGGGTCTCATCTGCTCTTCCAGGCTTCAGGATGGCCTGTGTGAACCACGCGCAGCAGAACACTAACATCCGTACGATAAGCCGAACACATAGAACAGGCTTCATTCTAGCAAAATGCAATTGACTCTACTTCCACCTGAAAGGAGAGGAGGGGGGGAAAAGTACTTTATTTTTCAAGGGGACATTAAAAATTTTGAATTTTTATGGCTCTAGAT